CGCTATGGAACTTTTGGAAGGTAGGGTCACCGTGGTGGGACTGAGTCACCAGGACTAGGCCTTTGAAAGCTGTGGAGCCTTAGGTTCAGGTTGGTGTTCTCTGCTTACCGTCCAGTTGGTCAGCAGTGACGTGAACAATCTGCTGCCATGAACTGCTCTATATCTTCTGTGCCATAACTTAGAAGCTTGGAGACTAAAACAAGTACTTTCTCCCTTACTTTTTCCCCCCTTTCCTTATTCCATTTTCTGGTCTGTGTTTGTGGTGTGCATGTGTGTGTGTATGAATGTTTGCATGTGTGGGAGCACACGTGTAGGTGCATGTGAAGGCCTGAGGTTGATGTAGAGAATCAATCTTGATCACTCTATCACTGAGTGATAGGGCTAGTCTCACTAACTTGCTCTGGGGATCCCCCGTCTCTGCCTCAGAAAGCTGAACCTCCAGGCAGGCCACCACAGACATTCTGGGAATCTGAACTCCAGTTCCATGGCCTGTCTCTCACTTCACTCTAACCACTGAGCCATCTCCCCGGGCCCCTAGGTTGTTCTGACAGGCATTTTGTTCACTGTGTGGCAAAAATGGCCAATGCATTCATGAACGCATCACCAGGTGAACACAGGCAAGGCCCACTCTGGGTCAGGATGGGCCTGTGGTACTGAGGCACAGAGAACCTTCCATTCAACACGCTCCCTGCAGCCTGGCCTTGGCCTCCACCATCTTCCCAGCCTACCCCAGCCTTCCTGGACCATGGCCCTCACCTCCTCTGTCTCCTTTTGCTTCCAATTTGTTAGTCTTAAGATTTAAATATCCCGTTGCAAATGTTACTGTCATGGCCCGGAAGGACACCCACAGGCTCCTGTTTTGGACGCTGGATCTCCACTTGGTGGCACTATTTTGTGAGGTGACCAACATGACCCCATAACAACTTCAGTCAGCTCATGCCATACCTCTGCTCAGAAGCCTTGAGTTTTCCACTATATTCCAAATAAAAGGTAGCCCTGAATGAAGGGTTTCCACTGCCTCCCTGACTTCATCTCTAGGCGTCCACCCCTCCCCAGGCCACTCCAGACCCAGGAGTCTCCTGCAGTTTCTTGAATGGCCGGGCGCTTCCACAAGGCCTTTGCTTCTGTGTGGTGCAGCCCAGACCACGTCCTCCAGGTGTCCCCACAGCCCTGCAGAGGGGCCTTGTCTGCTCTCCCTGCACACACACACACACACACACACACACACACACACACACACACACACACACACTGCACCCTCTCTTCCAGCCCTTGCTCTTCTCCGCCTTCACGAGGCAGACCACATCCAAAGTACTCCATTGCGTTTATGTATGACTGTCAGGACAGCGAGTTCCCTGAGGTGTGGCTGACACAGTGGCCAGTCTCTGGTGAATGCAGTGGTCTCTCCCCCTGGCTTTCTCTTCCCTAGCCTCCCCAGAAGCCCACAGGACTGTCTTCTGAGAAAAGCCCTGAGAGGACACTCAGCAGAAGGCGTTTCCTGAAGAGAACAGCAACAGTGAACTGCTCACGGGACTTCCAAGCATCTAAGCAGCTTGTTATTGGAAAGAACCATCTTCTGGTGAAGTGAATCACCCGAGCACTGAGCTCTGACCTACAGCACCCCTCACCCAGCTCTGTTTACAGTACCCCCTCACCCAGCTCTGTCTTACAGCACCCCCTCACCCAGCTCTGTCTTACAGTACCCCCTCACCCAGCTCTGACCTATGGCACCCCTCACCCAGCTCTGACCTATGGCACCCCTCACCCAGCTCTGTCTTACAGCACCCCTCACCCAGCTCTGTCTTACAGTACCCCTCACCCAGCTCTGTCTTACAGTACCCCCTCACCCAGCTCTGTTTACAGTACCCCCTCACCCAGCTCTGACCTATGGCACCCCTCACCCAGCTCTGTCTTACAGCACCCCCTCACCCAGCTCTGTCTTACAGTACCCCTCACCCAGCTCTGACCTATGGCACCCCTCACCCAGCTCTGTCTTACAGCACCCCCTCACCCAGCTCTGACCTATGGCACCCCCACCCAGCTCTGACCTACTGTACCCCCTCACCCAGCTCTGACATACTGCACCCCTCACCCAGCTCTGACCTATGGCATCCCTGCCCCACCCCAGGGACAGAATCAGGGTCATCATGATATAAATAGGTCGCTGACACATCATACTATGTATCTTCCCAGTTCAAGGGAATACATAAAAAAAGAAAGAAAGAAAAAGAAAAAAAAAAGACATTTGAAGTATTTCTTTGCCTTTTTATCTCTCTCCTATTTATTTTTGTTTTGAGACAGGGTCTTTATTTTATAGCCCTGGCTGTCCTGGAACTCACTCTGTAGACCAGGCTGGTCTCAAGCTCACAGAGATCCGTCTGCCTCTGCCTCTGCCTCTGCCTCTGCCTCTGGAGTGCGGGGAATAAGGCCTATGCTACCACGCCCAGATTTATTTATTTTTTATTTTTTTTACGGTCTCACTATGTAGTTCTGACTGGCCTGGGATTTGATACATAGACCAGGCTGGTACCCCGGTCAGAAAAGGGTTGGTGTTCTGGTGGCAAATGGGCTTAGCACTATAACCACATTATGGGAATAATAGATACAATATGCTATGTTATAAATGTGGAGTGTGTAAGGAAGCCAGCACCAACCTTTTCAAGAAGTTTAAGAAAGCAAATGGAGCCGCGCGGTGGTGGTGCACGCCTTTAATCCCAGCACCGGGAGGCAGAGCCAGGTGGATCTCTATGAGTTCGAGGCCAGCCTGGTCTACAGAGCGAGATCCAGGACAGGCTCCAAAGCTACACAGAGAAATCCTGTCTCGAGATGGTAATTCCAGGAGCTCAGGGATGGCTCTGGGGTAAAGAAAGCATGCGCTGCTCTTGGAGAAGACCCAGGATCCATGCCCAGCACCCACATGGTGGCTCACATCTATCCATAACTCCATTCCAGGGGGTCTGACACCCTCTTCTGGCACAAGACACTCATGTGGTACACAGACCTACATGAAGGGAAAGAAACTATCCCATGCCAGGCAAGGCAGCACACGCCTTTAATCCCAGTGCTTGGGAGGCAGAGGCAGGCGGATCTCTGTGAATCCGAGGTCAGCCTTGTCTGTGGAGAGTTCTGTGATGACATCAATAGACTATGCTGATACAAGTGCCCGGCTCTGTGGGGAGCACCCCCAGAGGACTTAGAATGTGGGGTAGCTTAGCAAAACAGGAAAGGGGCGTTGGCAAGAATGAAAGCTTGGGAGTGCACTGATGTGTCCAGGAATTCTTCCTCCATTCTTAAACACGTGTGAGTGAACCCCTGAGAGCCATGACCATTTGCCCCCAAAGCTGCTTATTTTGCTAGTCTTGCTCTTTTGAGATCTTGTCTTGATATGTATCTCTAGCTAGCCTGGAATTTATTGTTTAGCCCAGGCTGGCTTTGAACTCATGGAAACCCTGCCTCAGCCTTCTGAGTGGAGGAACTGCAGGCTTGCACCACCACACAATTAATAGTCACATTAATTTTCAAGAACAGAGGTCCTGGGCTGCCCCACAGAGTGCCAGGTGCCGTGCTGTGTGCCTTCGGCATACTGTGTGAGATGTGATTGTCTCTGTGTCTCTGTCTCTGTCTCTGTCTCTGTCTCTGTCTCTCTCTCTCTCTCTCTCTCTCTCACACACACACACACACACACACACACACACACACACACACACACACACACACACACACACACACACACACACACACGTTATGTTGTTGATGGAATGGGGTCAAAACTGAAATCTAGGCAGAACACCCAGTGTGGAAAGGCCCTGCTGGTTGGGAGAGGTGTGCAGACACTGTCCACCTTCCGACCTACTAAGGCACACGACCATCTCCACTCCTCTCCTGCCTGAGGCCGGGCAGCCAAGCTCAAGCAAGCTCCTCTCTTAAATGCTATCAGGGAGCCATGCACCCTGGGCTGGGACTCAGAAAGGCCACCTCCCCTACTGCCCAGAAACCAGAAGACCAAAACGAACACCCTAGGAAGGCCCCTCTTGTCTGGTTCCCACCCGCCCCCCAGCTCGCGGTTAGCTTTCCTCCCCAATGCTCAGACCACAAACCTTTAACCGCTAGTTTTTTCTTTCTTTCTTTCTTTTTTTTTTTTTTTCTTTTCTTTTCTTTTCTGGGCACAGTCATCTTGACTTCGCATTTTTTAAAACTGGCAGGCAGGTGAAGAGGGGTGCGTGCGCTATGCCTCTACCTGGTCTGGCATGAACATAGCAACCATGTATCTTAAATCTTTAGCCAGGTGCCACCTTAATCTTGAAGAAGCCAAAGTAGCTGGTCCATGGAACCTTAGCATGGCCTGCCCGGATCCCCGAATGAGAGACGACGGACCTCTAGCCTGGCAGATACATTCTTGGGAGCCTTTCTTGGTTTCAGCTCACAACCTCCTCTTGCCCCTCCCCCCCATCAGAATTCACCCTCGGAGTCACCCCGCCTCCTCCCTCCTACTGGACCCGGCTCCGCTGCAGTAGGGAAGCCCTAGGGCGCCCGCTGCCCAGGGACTGCAGAGGGACCGCCGCGGTCCCTGGCCCCTGGCGTCGCGGAGGGAGTGAGTGGTCCAGGTGCCGCCTCGCCGGGAAGAAAGTCCCCCATCGCCGGTGACCCGCTCTGGGACAGGGAAGCCACCAACCCAAGCCACTCACTCCCGCTTCTCACTCCTGCTCCCCGAGAGCGGCCGGAGGTCCCCAGTGGCCGTGCCGGGCCAGTACCCCGTCCCCAACCACCCGGCGTCTCCTCCCGTGGGTGGGCTTCGTGGCTGCCACGTGACTTCCACGAAGCACGAGGCCCCTAGCGAAAGCAACGACTTGGGTGGGATCCTGGACCCCGAGGTGCGGCGAGAGGGCGGGGAGAGGAGGAAGCGGGGGCGGGGTGGGAGCAGGGGGCGGGGACGGGACCGGACGGGACGCGCGGGGTGGGGAGGCGGGCACGGCGGAGGAGCCGGGAGAGCGGGAAGCGGCGGGGCGGGGCGGCAGGTGCGGAGATGCGGGCGGAGCGCGGGTAGCAGAGCCCCGCGTTCAGGGCGCCCCGTGTGGTGAGCGCGCGGCATGTCGCAAGGGCCCCCGGCGGGCAGCGTCCTGCAGAGGAGTGTGACGGCGCCTGGGAACCAGCCGCAGGTAGTGACACGGGGCCTGGTGCAGGGAGGGGAGTGGGGGGTAAAGGCAGCGCTCGACGTGCGTCCCCGCCGTGCGCGTCGGGCGCCTGGGAAGGATGCTGTCCATCCCGACTAGTCTGCGCCCGACACGTGGGTCCGCACTGCTGGGGGCCACTGCATCCTTGTCCACGGCCCACGCTGGAGGGAGAGGGCCGGACCTCGGATACTGGGAATTCAGCCCAAAGGGCGGTTCGTCCCTGCATCCAAACCTCCCGCTAAGGTCCGCATGGGGGACGTGGGACCGACAGACCGGTCAGCCTGCGGGTGTGGGGTTGTGCCTCTAGTGGGCAGACTCCACCCCCAACGCGGGTGGAAACTCCTCACCCCCATCCGATCAGTCCCCTCGGCTGTCCCCAACTTTCACAGCTGCACCACAAGAAATTGAGACAGCTGTTGGGACACTTGTTGGCCAACTAGTTGCTTTAGCAACAACTGGTTCTATCTTTCCTCCCCCATCCCCCCACCCCACCCCCTGCCACATTCCCAATAATATGCTTGACACGTAGTGTCCCAGGGTGACCCTGAAGTGTGAGCTACGTAGGTGGAGTCAATAGTCTTGTACCATTTGTTTCGCCTCTCTGAGCCTTGGTTTCCCTGTCTGTAAATAGGGACCCTGTAGCATCAACTCCTGATGGTGTGTGCACAGATTGTGTGAGCTATGGAGGATTTGTGTCTCTGTTAAGATATCTGCTGGGCAGGTATGATCATCTGTGACAGGTGATAGGTCCGGTTTACGGTGACAGATCCTGAGGACAGGCGGCATGCTGTCCCTTGCCCTGAGATAGAGGCATTATTTCCTGTCAAGCACTAGTGAGGTGAAAAGCTGTGTATCTCAGGCGAGCCTCAGCAGCAGAGATGACTGACCGAGCACTGTTGGGGGCCCCTGTCCCCGGAGCCCAGCAGAGTATGAGTACATGACAGGTTCCTAGCTAATACATACATTGGAAGGATGGGTGAATTGTGTTTATACTAGGATCTGTGAGGGCTGTAAAGCTGAAGTTTTGTTGTTTATATGGCCTGTCCCCCTGGGTATATCAAGGCTCCTTGGATTGCTGGGTGTGGTGATTGAGGCAGGCCTATAACCCCTGAGCTAGGGAGGGAGAAGGAAGGTGGAGCATTCAGGGCCAACCTGGGCTACCTGAAATTCTGTTAAAAGAAAAAGAAAAAAAAAGACTGCTTCTGGAAGACTAGAAGACACATTTGACACGTCTGTGTTCTGAACGGTGTCTCCATGCCACTACCCTGCAGTGTGTGCTGTCCATCCGTACCTGTGCTGGGGATTATACCCTGGGCCTCGCACAGGTCGCCAAGAGATCTGTCTCTAAGTTTCCTCCCCATCTAGACACCTTTTGGACTTCATCTTGAAGGATTTATTTTTTTTCTCCCGTGGTGTTTCCAGTGCATTTCTGGAAAGCAAACCCTTCCCATTGAATAAGCTCTCACTGTGGTAGGTGCATTTTTCTGCCTGCCCACCTCATGCCACCTCATGAAGAATTTTTGGATATTTGGTTAAGAACTTTTGAGACGCATCACAAATTTGCATTTGGAATAACCCTGACCTCTGAAAGAAAATGTCAGCCAAGCATTGTTCAAGAGAACAAGCATGTCCTCATTGGTGTTCGAGACACTCAACACTCTGGTAGAGCTGTGTGGTTGCAATTAGTAATAAATGCACGATTATGGTCTGCACAGTTTCAGAAGGACTTGCCACTGTGTGGTGGTGTAAAGGCTATGCACAGCAAGTTCTAGAGAGCAGACACCCCGGTCTGCCCCACGCTGAGGAGCAGCGACACTGCAGCTCTTCCAGGCAAACACCCTGTGGGGTAGAGGTTTGTGAACGTTGGCTTGGAGACCAGCAGACCTGAGTTCCACTTCCCACTCACCCTCATGCTGGCCATGATACCTGGAGAACTTCCCTAACCTGAGTTTCTTATTCCTCGTCTCTTAGTATTTTTGTTTTCTTGTGGTCCTGGGTATGGGACGCAGGGCCTCACGTATCCCACACAGACGTGATGCCACTGGGCTGCACCCAGGCCTCTTATTCCTCATTTTTAAGTGACAGTCTCACTGTCTATTTCTCAGGATGGGTGTGGAGATTCACATAAAGCAACGCCCCAGCAGGGATTGGGTGCCCCTTAACAAGGGCCAGCGGCAGCCCGCTGGGGGGTCGCAGGGGGTGCTGTCCATGGTGGCAGATGAGCCGGTGGAGCTCAGTGAGCAAAGCCGAGCGGACTGAGCATGTCACTTGGCCACATGTCTTCTTCCCCAGAGCCCAGAGGATGATGACAGGAAGGTTCGAAGGAGAGAGAAAAACCGGGTTGCTGCTCAGAGAAGCCGGAAGAAGCAGACCCAGAAAGCTGACAGGCTCCATGAGGTGAGACTGTGGTGAGGGCAGGACCACAGGACAGCCACCACGGGGACAGCCACCCTGCCCTGGGGAGGGGGCCAGTGATGACATCACGATGCTCATCACCGGTTCCGCACAGCTGATGTGCCGGGTCTTTCCAGCCGCTTGCTTTGCTTCTTTATTCGTGGGCCTCTTCCCTTCCACCTCAGCTTCCCACACTCCAGTTTCTCTCCCTATAGAACCAAATAAAAGCCGAGTGTGGTGGCATACACCTGTACTCAGCACTCGGGGAGGCGGAGGCAGGGGGACACCCAGTTTGAGGTTGGTTTGAACAACAGAAAGACTGTCTCAATAAACGACAATAATAGTTGTACACATTAAAGTGCCGAGGAAGCACTTCCGCAGAGGGCTTGCCTAGTGTGCTAAAAGATGTCCTGGGTTTGAGTCTCCGCGCCACACAAGTCAGGCACAGTGGTGCCTGCCTCTTATCTCAGCACTCTGGTGTGCAGGCAGAGAATTGGAAGTTCAAGGTCAGCCTTGGCTTTATAGTGATTTTTGACTAGAAAAGAAAAGAAAAAAAAATGGGACTAATGTCATACACCTTATTCCCAGCACTCTGGAGGCAGAGGCAGGTGTCTCTGTGAGTTTGAGGCCAGCCTGGTCTACAGAGGGAGTTCCAGGCCAGCCAGAGCTTTACAGTGAAACCTTGTCTCAAAAAAAGAAAGATAAATAAAAGAAGCTGGGTGGGGTGGCACTTGTTCGGGTCAGGAGTTCAAGGCCATTTTTGGCTACCTAGCAAGTTTGACGCCAGCCTAGGGTAGGCTACATGAGACCCTCTCCCAATCGAAAATAAAAATTGAAAAAGCTAAACAAAATGGCTCTTTGTGCTTTTAATTCCTTTTCAAATTCTCGCCTCATCCTGTGTATATAGTTTGAATGAAAATGGCCCCTATAAGCTCATCCGTGAGACTGCTCAGTATGGAAGTTGGTGGAGCAGTTTGGGAAGGACTAGGGGGCGTGGCCTCGTTGGAGGAGGTGTGTCACTGGGAAGGGGCTTTGAGGTTTCTAAAGCCCACAGCTTTCCCGTCAGCTCTCTCCCCCTCTGCCTTGCGCCTGTGGATCAGATGTCAGCTCCCAGCTCCCACCCCAGTGCCTGTCTGCCTGGTGCCGAGCTCGTCTACCCCTGGTGTTCGTCTTCGTCTGTTTTGGTATAGTTTGCTTTTTGAGACAGCCTCACTATGGAGCCCAGCTATGGCGTCCCGGTCTTGCCCAGCCTGCCGAGAACTGTGATGACAGGCGGATGCCATCACTTTCTCCTCCTTCCTCCTTCTCCTCCTCCCCCTCCTCTTCTTCTCGGTTTGTTTTCTTTCTTCTTTTTTTTGTTTTCTTTGAGACAGGGTTTCTCTGTGTAACAGTCCTGGCTGTCCTGGAGCACACTCTGTAGACCAGGCTGGCCTTGAACTCGCCGAGATCCGCCTGCCTCTGCCTCCAGAGTGCTGGGATGAAAGGCCACCACTGAGCATCTGTCTCTTGTGGTGGGATGTTTCTCTGCCCGCTTGGCCCACCATCAGCACTAACGATCGATTCGTCACTTACAGGCGGGTCTCACGCTTGCTTCGGCGTCCCTTGAGCTCTGCCTGCATGCACTTTCGTGGCAGAATGCGGTCTCTTCACCCCGAGACTTTCTCTTCTCACTACCTCCCGGGGTAGCTAATGGCGCGTAACCACCTTTCTTATCTCTCAGATCAGGAGCCTGTATCTGAGTCTTTTCTCTATTACTAAATACCACAGATTGGGTAATCGACAAAGAAGAGACTGTTCGGCCCAGGGTTCTGGAGGCTTAAATGTCTCAAAATATGGTGCCACATCAATTTGGTGTCTGCTCTGCGCCTAGTGAGGGCTTTGTGCTGTGCGGTCGTGTGGTGGAGGCCGGGAAGGCCAGACAGCAAACAAATCAGAGAGCTTGATTCCGTAAACGGCCGCTCCTTCCACAGCCCAACCATCCCTTAATGACTCAATCTGTTCACGAGAGCAGAGCACCTGTGACTCGTTTCTCCGAGGTCCTTCCTCCCAATATTGCTGTTTGGGCGCCAAGTTTTTCAGGCCAGGCAGTTGGGGGGGCACATTGAGTCATAGCACCATTTATCCCCAGGATTCTGCTTTCCTTGACCTGAGTGTGTAAAGCTACACAATTCCACAGCCAGGGCGGGAGCTGCTCCCCCTCAGGACTGGTGAGGGGTGAATGATGTTTCTAACCTGAGCTGTGCACCATTGGGGTGCAGAGTTAAGATTTAGTGTAGCCCGCTCCGCCGTGCAGCGCCCGTCTGCCCCCTCCGCCGTGCAGCGCCCGCCTGCCCTCCGCTGCCGTGCAGTGA